CAATCAATGATCAGAGATGGGTATGTGGCACTTCCAATGCTAGTAAACCTAACTTCCATAAACGGGCTTTGTGGTCCAATAAATTCTGTTAAGCTATGTGTTACCTATCCCTAAAACTAGGGTTTTCAACAAGAGAAAATGGATATAATGGAGGGAGAAGTGAAAGTGTTATTTGTATGTGTGACATATGTGTTATGTGTATGAGATGTGTATATATTTATTGTGTATAGCCTATGTGTACAAGTATCTGCAAATTGTCTCTTCACAAAGTCTGGCCAGTAGTTAGTGCAGTTCTCTGTGTCCAAAACATAGTTCTGGCACCAGAAATTATTGTGCATGTCTATTCACTGCAGTGTGTTACTTTACACTTAAGGATGCAATCTTACTCTATTTTAAAGGAAGTCCTGTTGAAAGCTATAGAGCTAAGTAGAGATAGATAACATTGTTATGCACATTAAACAAATCATTCCTTAGACAGAAGCCAAAATCTTTGAAATCAGCTTATAAACATACTTAATCTTTCTACATCATTTAACATGTTCTAGGAATTACTGTACTTCACCGTCTTCTAGTCTCCAGAATATAAAAGACTCCACCTCTGTTCAGTCACCATTATATGAAAATAGAAATGTGAATTGTTTTCTCTTTGACTGTGAACTTATATATAACGCAGAGAAAGCAACATTTTCACATGTGAGCACATTTTAAAATTTTTGGAGCATATTGTTAGCTTTCTTTCCAAATGGCTGTCATGATGAATATATTCACTTACCGGAAAACAAACTGGATGATTGCTGAAACGGGCCTGTCTTGAAATGCAAGCCCCGGCCTAGAGAGCCCTGTTAGATTAGCAACTTTTCCATAAGCGACCTGTAAACTTATTCTGAAAATAACTCAGGGGTGAAATGCTACCGCCGGCGGGTGGTTCAGAGAACTGGTAGTGATGGCAGTGCGAGGCTCCGCCCACTCACCCAGTTGTCCCACCCAGAAGTAACCTGTTTTTTACCCTCTGCGCATGCACAGAAAGTTTTGTGCATGCACAGAGGGTCTGTGCGCGCATGTGACATGCAAGCGGAGCACACATATGCATGCGATGCGGCGCATGCACTTCCGAACCGGTAGGGAAGGTAAGTAGATTTCACCTCTGAGTTAACTGATCTTTTTTCAGAGGTTATAAGGAGGGGAACATTTTCCAAGGGCTTTCGTTGTTTTGAGAAGCCAATGGATATGGAGAACACACACACATACACAAAACGAATCTTAAACTTGCCTTCATTTATGGCATGAAGTTTTCTAGGAGTCAGAGAAGAATCTAATGCATATAGATAGCAATAAATGCAATAAATGAGATGTTTTGGTTTTATTCTTTGTATGTTTTCAAGCCTTCCCAAATTTCCTATTTAATTGGGTTGAACAATGATGAAATGTGTATTGTCATGCCAACACTGCCTGTTTTGTAAGTTCAACAACATTACCCGCAGGGTATATGGAGTTTGCACTGTGATATTGTGATGCATGCTTCCTCAGTCTGACAAAAATTTCAGATACAGAGGACACCTCAGTCTATACTTTATTTTATTCTGAGCTGTAATAATTATTGACAAAGATATATTCATTTACTCTTTAAGCTCTACTCCTTTTTCTTAAGTTTAACACCCATCCTTTTTTGTTTTCATGTATCTTGATAAACTATGACTTTGTTTTAGACTGATATTTCTATGTCATTTGTGCCTCAGGAATTTGTTAAGATACCTTAGAACGGGTGTCAAACTCGATTTCATTGAAAGCGGCATCAGGGTTGTGTTTGACCTTGGGGGACCGGGGTGGGTGTGGCCAGCTTGATGTCCCTTGTGTTGGGGGAGTCTGTGGTGGCTGGAGCACTCTGCCAGTAAAAATGGAATCTGCAAGGGGCGCATGAGCTCCGTTTTTGCTGGCAGAGGACCGCGGGCCAGTCCTTTGCTGTTTCTAGGGTGACCCCGCGGGACAGATCTAAGCACCCTGCGGGACAGATGTGGCCCACGGGCGTTGAGTTGGAAACCCTTGTCTAAGAAGGTCTAGGTCTCTCCAGATAGATCACTAAAATAAAGAATTTGCCTTCGTGTGATTAGAAGACTATTAAACATTCTCCTTCCTGATCATCTGGTTTCTGATTAAATGTGGATGCAAAATATTGATAGCAGCCACATAGAGTATAGACAAGAAAAATCGTCGATTACCATATTCTGCACAATCTGGCTTTCTGAAGGTTGCCAGAAAATCTGAAAATATTTGGAAACTAACTGGCATTCTGGATGCATATTTAGAAAAATTAAATCTGTAGTGATCATTTTGGTGATTGTAATAATGGCCTTTTATGTGGTGTGGTGTGTTTTTTTCCCCCTTTAAATAAATAATTTACCAGTATCACAGGGATGGATATTATTTGCAAGCTCCCTTGAAGGAAAATATGAAATATCTTACATTAATAAATCAATGGCTGAGTAGCTGAAAGAATATTAAGTAAGATGAGATTAATTGAACAAAAGGTTTTCTTGTACTTTTGGGGTAGGGGGACTCACCAGAGAATATTTTAAAAAGGTTGGCTGTCAATTTCACTATGTTGGAAATGTTAAATAGATTAAGAGATACTTATTTTCTCCACTCTTGCCCCATTTATCATTTAACATCCATAAATGTATTAATATTGTTATGAATACCCTGTTTTCCCAATGAGCGCATGCGCTAAAATAAACCTCCCCCTGAAAATAAGCCCTCCCCAAAAATATTAAAACGCAGAGCTAGAAATCAGGTAAGATGACAAGAGGAGCCCCATCTTGCTCCACATGCCCCAAAATAATAAGACCTCCCTGAAAATAAGGCCAAGCGCTTGTTTCGGGGTTCAAAAAAATATAAGACAGGGTCTTATTTTCGGGGGAAACGCAGTACCAATATAATACCCTTAAATTATAATCCAAAAATGTAGAATTTACAAATTTATCAAAACAGATTACTCAGTGTAATGAAGGTTTGATGATGTGTATGAAAATTGGACTGAATGATTTCTAAGTGTAAATTTATCCTTGTTAGTCCTGTTTTTTATTTCACTTTTTTCCTGTTTGGTTACTGTGCTTTGGTTTTTTCCCCCCTCTTTTCGTTCTGTGCATTTGCATATAAAAGCACAATGCAAAAGATAATGGGGCTCAAATTCAAAAAAATCTCTACATGGTAGGAAAGGGTTAGAGTTTTCTGTGTGTGTTTGTAGTTCTATTTAAATTATCATGATGTGGTAGAAAAGGGAATGTATTTTCTTTCTTTATAACCCTGTAACTTTGGTTATGGAAAAGAAAAAGAGATGGTGGCAGAAAATATCTATTGGGGTTTTTTTTCGAGGGTGGGTAGGAGCGAGAAAGAATCTTCTAGTCATTCTCTCTTCTTCCACAAACCTTCTGGTTACTTTTATCACCCTCTTGAAATATCTGTTTGTCTTGTTTAATAATGAAATTTACCAGGTCTTCTTAGGAATGGAAAGAAGTAAAATAACTTCATCTGCTAGTGCAAAAAACAAACAAGACAAACAGGTATGTCAAGAGGGTACCCAAGAGGGTAACTCGAGGACAGGTAGTCCTCGAGTTACGACCACAATTGAGCCCAAAAATTTATGTTGCTAAGTGAAACTTTTGTTAAATGAGTTTGCCCCATTTTACGACTTTTCTTGCCACAGTTAAGTGAATTGTTGCATTTGTTATATTAGTAACATGGTTGTTAAGTGAATCTGGATTACCTATTGACTTTGCTTGTCAGAAGGTCGCAAAAGCTGATCACATGACCCCAGGACACTGCAGCCATCATAAAGATGAGTCGGTTATCAAGGGTCTGAATTTTGATCATGTAACCATAGGGGTGCTACAATGTCGTAAGGGTGAAAAACGGTAATAAGTCACTTTTTTTCGGAGCCATTGTAACATTGAACTGTCAGTAAATGAACTGTTGTAAGTCGAGGACTACCTGTATGGAGTTTCAGCCATTCACCATTTTACTTTATAGGGTACCATGGATCTATCAATATTTTTAGACATACAAATAATGATGTCATTAAAACAATCTTGCAAGACCTGTTAGGTGCCAAAAGAGATAATGTGACTACAGGACTTGTGTTAGGATGGGTATTACCTGTCTTTACCTACTCATGTATTTGCTGCTTGTTTTTATTACACTTATCCAAATTCATAGACATGTGGTGCAGTAAAAACAGACTTTAAATTTCCAGAAGGTGCTAGAATTCCTTATCTTTTGAATTTGTGAAAAACTTGTTAAACATTTTTTTCCAGTTGGTGCTACTTTAATATATGAAATGTGAAGAAAAATATTAAAACACCAGTGCTGGTTTTGTTAATAATGAAATTTACCAGGTCTTCTTAGGAATGGAATGAGCATGAACTTGATAAAGAAACTGTAGATTATATTATCAGGTCTACTCAATTGTTGGATTCTTTGGAGTTCTGCTTTTCATATTCATCTATATTTCAAGTAAAGATACTTTAAAATCTTATTGTAGAACATCGGTAATTATCGGATGATTTGTAAATTGTGCTATGATGTTCAAGTTAATTGTAAAAAATAGAATTTCTTCATAAAAGCTAATTTACGGCTAATTTAATTTTACTATTAATTTGACATAAAATGCATTATAAATTTCAGCTATCATCTGAACTGTTTATCCTGAATTGAAGACTACTTTCTGTAATTATTCACAGAAAGCAAACCAAATAATTAGTTGAAGTATATAATAAGAATTTATTTTGATTGGTAATGTGTATCTTCATGAAGAAAGCTACAACTTTCCATATTACCATGTGCTCAAGGCACAGAAAGGAAGCATTTTCTATATAGTCTGGATCTAGATCTAAATCTAGATATCATCAGCAAGATAAGATCCATATCCTTTAAGTTTAGATTGGAACCGTAGATGTTGCCTATTGTTGCTATGTTGTTTTAATTATATGTTTTATGTTTCCTTTCAGTCTGCTCCCAGTACTCACGAGGAGTTTTTGCTATTTTTGGACTGTACGATAAAAGATCAGTACACACCTTGACCTCATTCTGCAGCGCCTTGCACATCTCCCTCATCACACCCAGTTTCCCCACAGAGGGTGAAAGCCAGTTTGTGCTGCAACTGAGGCCTTCCTTACAAGGAGCGTTGCTAAGTTTGCTGGGCCATTATAAATGGAATCGCTTTGTCTTCCTTTATGACACCGATAGGGGTAAGTAATGTTCCCCTTCATAACACTCACCTATGGAGAGATGTAGCCATGTGTGTAGGAGATGAGCAGGCTAAGCCCGAGTGTGGGGATCAAATATGTCATCAGTTTGGAATCACTATGCTCCCACAAGAGGCCCAAGTCCAGCTCACATGAATTCCACTGACCTTATCTAGCACCAGTTGGGTTTGACCATTAGTAGATCAGATTCTTGTGTAGCATGTAAACAACGTTTAGTGCTCTGAACTCAATTCCTGTTCTTGACTATGTGTCATAGAAAGAAGAGACCCCAAGAGAGATTTCTTCCACATTTATTAAGTTTATATGCTTCCCATCTCACTGTCCACTGTTCATCCACTAAAGCTGTTCCTCCACTAAAGAGTAACTTTTATGTTTTGCTGGATATATATGACAGTCCTGAAGCAAATTCGTTCGGGTGCTAGAATTGTGCTAGAAATCTGAATGATTTAATTTGTGTCCATTTTGCAGTGGGGGCCCCCGCACACGCCCTGCCTCCCCGTGCATGTCTGTGCGGCCCCCCCGCATGCCCCCCACGCATGCGCGGCAGAGACCCAAAGACCAGCTGGCCAGCAGGAGGCGCACACACATGCGCAGCAGAGCTGAACTGGGGTGACTGCTCGCGTGCCCACAGAGGGAGCGCTCCGTGTCACCTCTAGCATGCGTGCCATAGGTTCACCATCATGGTCATAGGAGATATGTCAGAAGTATTTGAGATTCTAGTTTATTTCTGCTGCATTGCTACAAAAATGGACACATGCACATTTTCTTTCTTATTAAAATTATTTCATTTAATTTGTAATCTTTTCTTGTATGATTTATTGTATTGGTAATTTTGTGCAGCTCTTTATGAAAATAATCCTTACATTGTACTATTTTATTTGTGCCTAGTTCTGTTTGTTCTTTTTGTGTTTTTAAAATGTTCAGATAAAAAAGCTTTGGTTTCACTTGGTTCTGCTTTGCAATTTGTTTTGGGTGAGCATAATATAGTAAATAAGACAGAAAAATAAATAAACAGTGATAGTTCCGTTTAAAAAAAAACCAAATTCCCCCTTTCTCTTCTAAATTCCAAAGATAAATTATAGGCTCACCATTTTGAAATATGTGACAGCATACCACAGGCAGTTTCAGAATTTTCTTCCCTGAAATATGATTTGTAAACTATTCCTCAAGAAACTATACAAAAATCTTGGAATATTATGAATACATTTTTGAGATGGAGATTGGTAAAATTTTTATGCATTCATATGAAAAAATCCAGAATGGTTGCTCTGCTAGCCTATAGCATGAACGAAATGAAAAGTCTTGCTAATTTACTGGTTAACCACTTGATATCACAATCTTTCTTGCCAAGGATCAAAATGACAAACATATTTGATGAAATAACCTTTAGCTGACATAAATGTGTGCATCCTAGCATCCACTTTTCCTCTTTACTCATTTTCCTAAACCTCTTTCAAAAAACAGCTCAAATTAATCCCTCAATCCTCTGCAGCAGATATTAGTAGTAATAAGTACTAGTCATGGTGTTAAAGAGCTGAGGTAGTATTTCTTGGGTATAATATTGAAGATAGCTTGAAACAGCTGCTTTGCAATGATGTGCCTCTCTCTAACTAGCTACTTAACTATAACTTCATGAAGCAATTTTTATAGTAGGCTTACATGCTTTTTACTCTCTTTACCCTTAGACCTGGGATATCAAACTGGCGGCCCGCAGGCCAAATGCATCACACGCAGGGCACGCCCATCCACAAAGGCAAAAACAGCCATGATATGTCACATGATGTCACATGATCGAGTTTGACACCTGTGCCTTAGACTATAAAGCACCCGCAAATCACTACTCAAACATCACTTTCTCAGTTGTAAACTAAATGTGTTTTTCAGCTAAATATCATTTAAACCGAAACAGTCAGAAAACCAAGTTTTCTTCTTGGTTTTCAAACTGAAATTTGAGTGTATAAGAATATAAATATATTTAACAAATTCCTGGTAGTCCTCATGTTAAACCATAATGCTTTTACAAGCCTCTGACGATTAGGCAACTCTTCGGCGGAAGAGGTTGTAGAAAAAATGCTTTTAAAAGCCTCTGATGATCCCAGCTGAGCCGCGGGATCATCAGAGGCTTTTTTTTTTTACTTTTAAAAGCATTTTTTCGGCTGAAGAGGTTGTAGAAAAAATGCTTTTAAAATTTAAAAAAAAAACCAGCATCTGATGATTGTGCAGCTCGGCTGGGGGGGGGGGGGGGGGGGGGCAAGGATTTTTGCTACCAGTTCTCCGAACCACCCGCCACCATCGCTACCGCATGGGTGATCCGGTCCAAACTGGGAGCATTTTACCCCTGAGACAGGGTCTTATTTTCGGGAAAACACGGTAGTTGTAACTGATGATGATTTTGCAACCTATTTTTGTGTGATTGTTAAGTGAGTTATGGGCCGATTTTGCTGAAAACTGAAAATAAATGTAAAATTTTTGGAATATCGTTGTTAAACATGGTCATGTGACCACAGAATGGTGCAGACAGCCATAAATGCAGGCCAGTTGCTGAGTGCCCAAAGTATGGTGATGTGATTGCATGGGGGCGACCATCAGAACTTTGAATCTAGGTCATAAGTACCCCCTGGTAGGTCCTTTGTAACTTCAAATGGTTGCAACCGATTGTAAATCAAGGATAACCTGTATATTGTTATTATTACCAATTTTCTCGGTACTAGAACATTGCAATGTTTTTCAGCTTCCTAGACTATAACTAGCTCTAGAATTCTTGAAGATCTCTATCCGCATTGCATTCAGCAATTAGTTTTCGATCTACTTAATTGCCTGTTACTTGCTGAGACTCTGTCACCACTGATAAGCATGCCATATTTACAGCATTTAGAAACAAAGATATGCAATTCAGTCATATTAGCTGATTTTAAAGTTACATGTGAATTTTACATGTAACTGATCCTACTAAATTTATTTTGGATGTTAAGATCAGAAATATAGCAAAGCTAAAGTATTTTTTCCTTTATTTGTATTCAATGTATTTAAGCCCTGGTGGCGCAGTGGTTGGATGGCTGTATTGCAGGCTAACTCTGCCCGCAGTCTGGAGTTCGATCCTGACAGGGCTCAAGGTTGATTCAGCCTTCCATCCTTCCGAGGTCAATAAAATGAGGGCAATATACTGACATTTGTAAACCGCTCAGAGAGTGTGTAAAGCACTATGGGGAAGTCTAAGTGCTATTGCTACTGCTGTTTTATGATTTTGAAGTTAAAATAGGATTATTGCTGTTACAGATATGTTTCCTGACTGATCAGCAGGGTTTGCAGCTGATAAGATTTGATTTTAGGGAAAAGTTTCCATCTCCTGCTCTGCACATTGCACCAAATTATACATGAAGTAAACAGAAGCAATTCAGAACTGCACTGCTGTCTGTGGTTTTTAATGCGAGTATGATACCGATCTGCATGAAGCAGGTAATGGGTATTCAACACTGCTTCATGGAAATTGCATATCAGTATTTACTGATATGCATTCAGCATTTTGTTCATATAAAACAGCAGCTTTCACACATCTTACTGGTGTGTGCTTTTCATTATAAATTTAAGCTCAATAAGAAAGTGTTGTGGAATACACAACAAACATTGCTGCCAGACCAGTATCTCAGATAGACCTCCCTAGTGATGCTGGAGTAGAGCAAGGCTCACAGTATACTAGAATGTCTATGGAGATTCTCAATCATCCAGGTCATCGTTGACCCAAAGGTGCTTTTTCCAAAAGGCAACTGGACTTTCTTGTTCTTCTTTTTGTTTTTCCTTTGAAAATGGTTCTCTCCTTATCAAAAACTGAAGAAGCTTCTTGAATGAAAAGCAAAATGTTTTCAAAGGAAAAAAGAAAGAAAGAAAGAAAGAAAGAAAGAAAGAAAGAAAGAAAGAAAGAAAGAAAGAAAGAAAGAAAGACTAGTTGACTTTTTGGAAAAAGCGCCTTTAGGACTGCACAGTAGGATATCTCTCAAAGCAACCCATTTCCGGGAAGTTACTTCAGCGCTATCTGATTGGCATCACTTAAGGCAGCATTAGTTAAATGAGGGTATTCAAGGCCACTCCTAAACCTCAGGTCAGTCACATTGGTTGACAGACAGTTGATAAATGAGGATCCTGCATTTCAGGCATCCAAGGAAGCTTTGAAAAGCGTGAAAGGAGGAAGCCAGCTACACATCCACACTCGTATGCTTTAGAATTTTATTTCTCTGTGGACATCTGAGTCCGGCAGCTGCTGTACTTAGCCTTTTATGCAGCCACAGGTGTTGGCTTCAGTGCTGGAACCCACAGTCATGGGAGACAAAGACAAGCACAGTAGTAGCTGCCAGGGACTGGCAATTATGCCAAGCAAACATTGAATGTAAAACAAATGCATGTGCCAATTGGGCTCCAAACTGAGTTTCTAGTTCAGGGGGAAAAAAATTAACTTGTCTTTTGAGAAGCATTCTCTGTACACTATAGACAAATGCCCAAAGCTGTTATAAGGTACAAGGCACGCATTTTGTTGGAACAACAACTGCAACAAAAGTGGATTAGAAAAAGAAGGCATAGGCTTTCAAAGACAAAAGCTGATTAGCTTTCCTGAAATGATCTCACAATCCTTTATGCACAGGGGGTCAAATTAATCTACAATTAATCTCCACATATTTCACCAGAGTTGAGGAAAGCCAAAATCCTACGAGGGCAAAAAGTCAATAAGGATACATTTCTTCAGAGATCATGTCCTCAAAAGCCTGTCACTTTTTGGGCTCTCCCTTCTCTCTGTATTTCAGATCCCAAAAGCTACAGTATACCAGAGGATTTCACTTTCTTCTTGACAGCTTGCTTTCACGACATATTAGCCTCCTACTTAAAATCTTGATAAGATATCGAGTGGCAGGGGTAGTGGGCTGAAGTCACCTTCTCTAAGCTAAACCGTGTGGGTTTGGGGATCTGGCTTTTTGAAGCAGAAAGAAAAAAGC